CAGTTGGTGGAGAAAAAGATTTGGTTCTGTAGGCATGTTCAGGTGACAGAATTTAACGGTTATGGTGATTAATATTATATCATTAATTTTAAAGGAAAGCTTAAACAATTCCCCCTCTCTTTCTTCCTGATCACTAACCTCCATCAGATCTGCTCCTTCAGTCCTGTCAGTCTCCGTCAGCTTCTTTCTCTCCCTCTTCCTCTGTTTAGTGATATATTCATTTTATTAAACTCAGATTTACGAGCTGCTGACTCTTAATTTCCATCTACAGGTTGAGGAATTTGGGGGATATAGAACTGTGTTATACATTATTACCTTTTCACACAAAGCTGAAGCTTCTTGTTAGAATATTTCCGTTCCACCTTAAATGCTGAAGCAGTTTCATTTTGGCGCCTCGTGGTGGGAAAACTGGAACAAGAAGCTGGCAAACAGTAAGCAACTTCAGCCTCGTCCTTTTCACTGACATTAACTTAAACAACAATATATGGCGAATGCTGGTGTCATTTTTTCCAAATACTGAGGAGAAATATAAAAACTAAGAACATAAAGAGTCTCAGTAACGTTATTTCTGCCACTCTTGTTCGTTCACACTCTCACACTCACTATGAAGTGAGGTTAAACCACAGACTCTGTGGGTTAAACTAGTTGGCTTGTCAGCTAACGTTAGTTAGCTAATGCTAGTGTTAGCCTAGCCTCTTTACCTCACTTAAACCCAAACTAAAGTTAGCCAGCTAGAGTTAACAAGCAACCAAAACACAGATATCCAGCTATACTGACCATGATTTACCACAAATCCATATAGTGGGTGGATATTCACTGTTTCACCCTGTTTCATCTGTATCTTATAGATTCTGAATGAGGTCTGATGTTTATTTTAGTGAGCTTTTAGGCCAAAATCCTGTGTTCAGCTCGGCTACCCATTACTTCGCAGTGCATAAACGGCGCCCCGCCCCCAGGCCTGATATGATTGGCTGACAACGTATGAGGTCTGATATGATTGGCTGTTATGTTAGTCAATCTCTGGTAGTACAACAGAAGCAGTAATGCACATTTGCTTAGAAAAAATTGGCCTAGTAATGCCAATGAACTGACTTGAACTTCAGATTTAAATCCTTATTCTTTCATTTATGCTTTATCTCAATTGTGTTTATTTTATTCAAATTAATGATTCCAAGTGGCCACGACCAAAACAATCACAACACTACTGAAACTTTACCAAATATTTCGGTGGTGACAATTTTAGCTAATTTTAGCACATTGTAAAATTTGCAAAATTATTAAATTATTATTTCATTAAAACACAAAAAAGTGCCTAATTGCAGAAAATATGTGTTTTGCTAGTGGCAATTCTTAATGTTCCACACTGATTTTCAGATTTTGGGACACATTTAATTTAAAACAAAGGGCACTAACTGCTCACCATGTGGCCATCAGGGACAGAGATGCAGCCTCACTTCCTGCTCTAAAATGCAGGGGGGTGGCTAAAATAAGGTTCCACCCATGGACTAAAACTCTGTTTCTGTAGTGATATGAAAACGTGGGACAGTACATCTTGAATAAGTGTTTTTTATTTAAAAAATAAATAAATCTAAATCTTTCTTCCTTACTTTAAAATAAATCAAAAGGTCTTTAAAAACAATATTGAAAAAAATTGCAAAAAAACTGTAAGTATTATTTTCACAGGTGTAAATTTAGGGGTTGGGGTTTGGGACAGACACCTCCCAATAGACAGTGTCATACAAATTATGGTTTTGTATATATTTCGCTCATTACTATCTCTATTAATGTCTCGGGTTTAAATAGATCATAACATAATCATTGTAAATATCTAAGGTCTGAATACATAATAGTTTTTTAATTAGCAGTTTGAATGAATTCAGCAGAATTGTCCATTCAGTAGGACGATAGGCCATGCTAATAGGGCCTGCGTTTGCCTGATGCAAAGACCACCCCTCTTGGTACTCAGTAGCATCTTTCTATTTAAATTTTCCTTTTTTTTGTTTGTAAACCCAGTAAACAAACTTTTGGGGGAAAGGACAAGGACAATGGACAGACAACACGTTGCTGAATGACCATTTGGAAGTCACTCTACAGGATGCATTCTGAATGTAATGCTGCTGCCCCCTGCTGGATAAACGGCTCACATTCCCAGATTTCTTTTACAGTCATATATGTTTGGGCACCCCTGGTCAAATGACATGTTTTGCTGCTGTGTGAAAATAAGTAAACAGACCCTCTACAGAGATAAGTAAAACAGGGGGGTAAAACAGAATTTAAAATGTGCCATTTCTTTTACACAGGCCACAGTTTGTTTCATTTTTAATGTTGTCCACGTGAAACTGCTCAGAAGTGTCTCCTGAAAAACCAAGAACTGGAAATTAAATAAATGTAAGGCGCTGTCTGATTTTTGCACAGTGCTGTTTTTATAAGTCTACTTATTTATATTTATCTGCCTCGACTCCATCAGCATGAGGGAGATTCTTTCAGCTCAAGCTTATATTTTTATTGTGTTGCATTAGTTTTATAAAGGAACCAAACACAAACATTTAAATGAACAAAAGAAAACTGTTTATTTACAATATATACAAAATATATATATATATATATATATATATATATATTACATAATATAGATTTAAATCTATAACACACTGTTATATATTCAATTCTGTTCAACATTTAGTTATAAAGCGCTTTTTATAAAAGGCTGCTTTATAGAAATCCGGTCCGAGCCCCGAGTGAGCAAGCCAACGGCGACAGTGGCAAGGAAAATCTGCCTCAGAGCAAGAGAAGAAACCTTGAGAGGAACCAAGACTCAAACGGGGAACCCATCCTCCTCTGGTCGACACCGGATAGCAAAGCAATGTCACAACAAGAGCAACATAAATGAGGAATGAAGAACTGACAGTGAATATACAACAGTGAATACTGAACAGAGAAAGAAATGAGCAGAATATTTAAATGAACCAATAAGAAATAACTACTGTTAGAAGCCTATGGGAGTAACAAATGAGGAGCTCTGTGAAAATCAGTGACTGCAAATTCTAAAAGAGAATCACAGTGAAAATAAGAATAAATCCATTAAATCCATAAACAGGACATATCAATGTTGTTTTATAGACCTAATTATCATAAATGGAAGTATTTATGCTAAAAGGAGGCTCACTGTGGCTCTAGAGAAACAGGTACTGCAGGCAAAACTATCTAAATGAGATATTATCTTAAAATGAAACAATATAGGATGAAAAAAGAAACTTCATTCCACTCCATTAACGGCATGTGGAACTCTGGAAAGACTCACAGGATCTAAACAAACAGATTAGAGAAATAAAGTTACTATGAAAGACAAATGGCAGCAGAATAAAAAATAAAGTTTTGTGTTATTTGGTGATCTTACCTTCATTAAATTTACAAACAACTGTACAAAAGACACACACTACAACAATAAGAAATACACTTTAAATCTACTGTGTAAATAAACAGCTCCGGAGAAACATAACAACATAAAAAGCACCTCATAATCTCACCTTATCTTACCTTAATGAGTAATGTTTAACAAGTAAACACAAACTACAGCAACAATATACAGACTATTACTAAACTTTAGCACTAAAACTTTAATATTAAAGTAGAAATGATGGTGTGGGTGGATAACAGGGCAGCTAGGTCACCTGAAGTCTCAACAAGAGCTGCTGGACGTGTTTCTCCAGACAGTCCCAAAGAGTGAGAGTCAGGGATCCGGGATCTGCATAAGCGAGCTCCTCCCCACTGAAGATGTCATCCAGCAGGAGCATCGCCTCATCCTGACAGAGAGAATCAGGTGGTTATGAACTGAGATCAGCAAAACAGCATCCAAGAAAACATTAAAGGGGCTGATTCTTATAGTTTTACTTAAAGCAGTAAGAAAATGTATCTATATGTAAATACAGATATGATCTGTATGAGCTTTTTCAGTCTGGCTTTCATTCCCATTATAGTTCTGAAACAGCTCTGTTCATCACAACATTCTCCTTTCTTGTATTAAGGCTGATCTACAGATCTGTGATGCTGCATTAGTCTGCTTCAGGTATTAATGACAAACAGCACTTATAGACAGACACGTATCAAATATGGCCTCTTATGGTGTCCCACAGGGATCTGTTCTGGGCCCTTTGTTAACTCACATGCATGTCTTGTTTTGTTTTCTTTTACATAGTTAAACCTTAATTTTATATTTATTTATTTTGATTTATTTTATTTTATATTTTATATTTACATTATATATTTTGTCTTTTCATGTTTTACACTGTACACTGACCTTGGGTAAGAGAAATGTGTGTGGTGTTAATCCTGTTGATGTGCACCTTACCTGAAGCAGGAATAGATACTGCTCAGCCCTGGGTCTGAGAAAATCACAGCCATCAAGGGCCCCAGGAACCCTTCAGGAGGCTGGAACAATGGAATAGAAGAAAAAGTGAGTAAATAATCTGCAGTTCTTCTGGGTCCAGAATAATAAAATGAGAGAATTCATAATAAGAGTCTTCAAGTTCTGTACTTCACATTCTAATCAATAAGACTGTATCTATATGGAAATCTGCTGGACCTCAGAGACGCTTCATAGTAGATGGAGCTTCTAGTATGCAGCATAAAGTCACAACTGGTTCTAGAACAGAGTCTCTTACCGGAAAGAGAGGCCTCGCTCCTTGAATCACTCCCATCAGCACCAGCTCATAAACAATGTCTATGAGGTTGAAGTGCTGAATCTAAGAGGATAAGAAACATTAGTGTCTAAGCCTGACTCATTATGGTAAAAAAAAAGGTGACCAGGTTGTGGACTAAGGCCAAACGAGCGTGACCTCACCCCGATCTGCGCCAGCTCTGTGCAAATGAAGCTTCCTGAGTGAAGGCTAGCAGCTGATCGTATGTCTGACGGTATACTGGAAGATCCTGCAGAGGAAACAGTTGTGGTTAATTCACACGATTATTCAGATTACACAAATCTAGCTGCATAACGTTTTGTGTGGCATTCCGAGCGGCCAGTCCACCAAGAATGACCCTGTCTGCAATGCAGACATACTTCCGATGATGGCTGTTGCTCAGAACAATCTATAGAATGAAACCAGGAAAAGAACAACTGAATAAGTTCTGGTTTTAAGAGACAGAGTTAGTGAGAACTGAGAATGCGGTAGACTTACAGTGGAAGCCTGACGCAGAGCTGAAAGCCTCAGAGGAAAGCTGGACGCCCCCCTTATGGCAAAGTAGGTACTACAAAACAAATATCATACATGTGGACACTTTGCAAGTCTCTGTTGAAAGAAGCATAAGCAGGTGAGCCCTATTTGAAAGGGTGAAAACTAGAGTACTTACTACAAAGAGGGCACCTGATAAGCCTCCGGAGGGACAGAAAGATCTTCAGCTGCCTACAATGTCAAACATGCAGTAATTACTAGTAATAAAACTGATGAGAATGTATTCAGAATTCATAAGAGCAGCGTGCATAGTCTTACCCCTGATGCACTCTGGGTAGTGAAAGCTGAGTGATGTTGAGGTTCAAGTGCTGGCTGAGGAGAGGATTCCAGAGATGGAGCCTGGATTGGTGATGTGGGTGGGATCTGAGGAGTTTCAGTAACAGCAAATATCTAGTGGGTGTAAAACACCAAATATCTCATGGGTGTTGGATAATATACTTAACTGTAAAAGTCCAAGACCACCCTTCATTAATTTGATTTAAGATTAAATGGACATTAAGTATAAGGTCATTTTACTGGAGATATTTCTGAGAAGATTAGATAGAGGATCATCTACTTGCATAAAGAAAGGAGCTTCCAAAACTGGAGTTTAAAAATGTATTTAATGACTGAACACAAAAGACATCTGGATGTCTGGTTTCTATCAACACTGTTGTGAACAAGTCTGACTGACAAGTTTCTCTGTAATGAAGTTTCACATCAAACCACTCTGAATGACACCGTTTACATCCTAATGATTTAAAGGGCCCATATTTTCCTTTCTTTTTAAACGAAAGAGTTTAATGTAGTTTACAAACACTGCCAGAGTTTCAAATGTATCTCACTCCTGTGTCGATACAGACCTTATGATGGAAACTAAGCTGAAGAAACTGCCTGTTTTGAATTCATCGTTTTTGTGATGTCACAACAATCAGCACATTTACATATAACCACCTATTCAGCCTATAGTTGTTTAGCCCCACTCATTCCCATTAAAGTTGTTACGGCTGTTTCAGAACGGACTGTTTTTTGAATGACGCGCAATACACAGCAGCCAATCAGAAGAGAGGTCATTTACATATATCCGTCCTAAAGGCACATTTAAAAAAGCAGCCTGTTTAACAGTAAGGGGTAAAGAGAGGTTGGAATATGGCCATGTGAAGTGAATTATGGATGTTTTTGGCGTATAAAACTGCAAAAATGTAGGATATGGACCCTTTAATTACACAGAGACTTTAAAAACAATAAAGTTCTCCTTTAAAGCAGGTTTTGAATGTAAACAGCAGAGGACAATCTGACGACTTTCCTTCTCCATCATCTAACTTCGTATCCAGTTTGCTAGTTTTCCAGTCAACGTTTATCTAGAACCGCTGAGTTACTTCTGTATGTTAGCGCACACACGGTTAGCTACTTAGGCTAACACTGACATTAGCGGTCTAGTTTGAATAAAGCGGCTGTTTGAGCTGCTCTGTTACCGATAAACACCGTTTATCAGAAGCTGTTTAAGACTCCTCTTGTGTCTCTGAGTACCTCGGTGGTCAGTCAGCTCCTCAGCGGCCTCCCGGCTCTTCATTCTCCTGTAAACATGATAGAAGGATCCAGCGGCTACAGCAGCCCCGGCCACACACAGCAGGGGGCGCCAGCTCATCCCAGAAGGACACAGGCTGCGCGGGGGAGAGCGGCTCTGAATCTCCGGAGTGAAGAAGCGGTTTGAGAGCGCAGGAGAAACACAGCTCGACTGTAGAGAAAGACAAACGACTGAAGATCAGCCTCTTTACCTTTTCAGAACGAGGATGGAGTCTGAATAAAAACTCGTTTACAGTCGTTTACAGCATTCGGTCTCCCTGGAAACAGAAGAGCTGATCCACGGAAAGAGGTCCATCTGAGCCTCAGCGTTCCGGACCGGAACATAGGATCAGCAGTGAGTCTCAGGGTTAAATGAGTTATTTAAAGCTAATAGACACAGCATTTCTTACTGAAAGGGAGAAGCGTCGGCGCAGAAGAAGAACCTGAGAATGTCTTTTTGGTGCTTGAGGAAGAACTGCTTCACTGAGTGAAGCAGAAAAGGCCACAACATTCACAGAAGAAACACTTAACCACACTGATTAACCCACCGCAGAAACCACTGAAACACAGACAACATGGAAACACATTTCAGCTGGAACAACAACCACAAGCACACCTTTTATTTTTTATTTTAATTTTTATTTTAAAAAAATCATTAAAGTTCTGTCTCAAATGTCACTAAACCAGTTTCAGTCCTTTGTCCAGGTTTATGTTTGTTTCCTCGTTAATGCTGCACGTATCAGTTTAATATAAAACATGAATTTTAAGAAATATAAAAAAATATATATCACTCTGGTTTCCCTTCTAACTAATAATCATTAGCAACAACAGCATTTTATCCAGCTATGATTTTCCCTTCCATTATCATCACTTCACACACAGAATCAGACAGTTTATTTTTACTTTAGTTTAAAGATAAACAGTCCTGCACACAGTTAAGTACACATACAAACACAATCAATGGCAATCAGAGCGAGAGTGAGTGTCAGGATGTGACAAAATAAAAGTCCATGATTTTTTTGTAGAATAACCTGCGAGGCGCGGTGGAGGAGTTAATGTGTGTGTGTGTGTGTGTGTGTGTGTGTGTGTGTGTTGATTGTTCTGTGTGCACAAGATATTTAAGGGACACAGAAACTAAGCTGTCGACCCTCTAATGAAGATCTGAGAAGGTTTTTTTTTTATTCAACTTATGTTTCTGGAAGTATGTCAAACTAGAATATTATTGACTTAATAATCAAAATAAAATCGAAATAATCACTATTTTTTTTTAAATATTGACTTAATTTCTTCAAATTTTGGCGTATTATCTCCAAATAATGATTGATTGTCTTGAGATTCATTTAGACAAAATTCCATCATATTCGTTTTAGTATTACAAGTCATCTATTTCAAAATAATTAGTCAATATTTTCAGAAAATAAGTCATTATTTCCACACAATACGTAAAAATCTTGAGAAAATATTTATTTTGACAAAATAAGTCATTATTTCCACGTAATTGTTTTAATAATCGAGAAAATGCGTCGAAATTAAATTTTGACGTTAATTAAAGAATTGAGGAAATAATTTTTAGTCAACATTATGAAGCATTTCCATTATTTCCACACAATAAGTTAATAATAATAAAAAATAAGTCACTATTTCAGGACACTAAGTCAAAATTTTGCCTGTTGCTCCAGTCAGAGAAGGAAAAAAATAGATAGTTAATTTTCCCTTCTCTGCCTGACCGGCGCTGGGAATGGACTTCCATGCATAGTAATTCCTCCACAGCTGTGAAACAGTATTACTGAGTCACCCGTATGAGCTGACACTGCATCAGAAAGGTGCATCAGTCCTGCAAAGCCTGTAAAGCCAGACTCAGCGCTGCCTGCCTGCCTGTGTGTCTGGATCCAGACTGTTTTTCTCTCCTGGGTGGCCGGACTGTGTCTGATCAACTCTGGCTCCCTCCGCGCTGCTGCCTCCACTAAGCTGTGAGGGGACGTCGTCGGGATATTATTTCATCCAAGCGAAACGGACTGATGGCCGGGACAGTGTTATGACATCGTTTTTCTGTGTAAGCTAATAACCTCGTGGATTAAAAGGGTCAGAGAAAGGCGGCTGAGCGTCTTTTCCAGATGTGAAAAGCAGCACAGCGGCCCGCGACGACTGCGCTTCAACTGACTGGAAAGCGAGAAACATGGCTGCTCCGCTAACAGGCTAGCAAAGTTTTTTCCTCACACAAACACATTTTCGCGTAATACAGTCGCATTTTTAACACCCTGCCGACGAACGTGGATTTATTAAGAAACAAAACTCAGCCTGGCTGTTTAAATATCTCAAAATTCTCCAGACGTTTACGGCGAAACTCGAAGGCTGCAGGTGGTAAACAAAATAGTTTGCAGCTAACGCTAACTAGCTTAGCTTTGTGTTTTCATGTCTGAATTCTTACAGCGACGTCTTAAAGTTAACTTGTTTAAACTTTGCCTGTTTGGTAGCGTAACGTGTGACAATGAAGGCATAAAACGCGTTTCAAAATGTACTTAATTTTTTTTTCTTACGAAATTGATGTAACTTCACTGCTTAGCATGCTGGCTAGCAGGTTTGTTTCCTCGCTAGCATTGCCCTGCCTGTCTAACTAAGTTAACAGTTTACTGTTTTTGACAGTTTAGACAGTTAGCTAACTAAATGTTAAAGCTTTTAAATAAATCAGACTATTTAATGAATTTAACTGGCCCGTGACATGGTCATAGCTGGTCATCCAAGTCAAGTTTACTCAAACATTTTATACTTGTTGAGACTTTGTCAACAGCTGAACAGCCTTTAGCTGAAAGCTTGACTGCTCATATTGCTACTGCAATTCTAGCAGCCAACTTAAAGAGGAATTCCACCAATTTTGTAAACTTTCTGAATAATTCAGTCCTTGAGATGTGAACATAGTCATTCAGAGTGGTTTGAGGTTCATTGTAGAGAAACTTACAGGCTCAGATATCTTTGCCCTGGTGGTGAACCAGGAGTCACAAACTCTACAATTCAGATATAGCCGTTTTATTATTTACTGTCCAAAACCACTAGTGAACTCATGCATGTCTTCTGAGTTTAATATGTGATGTCGATGATGCGAAAAAAGTCATGTATCGGACAGTAGTAAGGTTTCTTTGGGGGCTACTTTGCCTTACAACACCCTGCATACATCCCATGAATGGATCAAAATACATTTTAAGCCAAAGCTTGACCACAGAACTATCCTAAAACAGTGTCTCAGGCATCAGGCAGCATATATCTAACCATTTCATTAATAGGTTTTTCCTGAGGAAGCTTTCAGAGGCATTAGACGTCTGATTCACCACCACTGTGAGCAATTCTGACTCATTTCATTTCTCTAGAACAGAGCATTTCATAACCAAACCACTCTGAAGGACTTTGTTCACATCTCAACCATTTTATTATGCAGAATTTTGGAAAAATCGGTGGGATTCATCTTTAAGGTCACAAGCAACTTTTTTTTAAGAAAGTTACCTAACGCTTTACCAATAAGGCAATGCACATCAGCAGAGCCAAGTCTTACTTAAAGTGTAAACGTATGTTTAAAGTTAAAGGTTATTACTTTGTCAGTATGACTAGATAAGAGTGTGAGGTGTCAGCTGAAGTGAAGCTGTATGGGCTTTTTGCTGCGAGGTATTCTGTCTAATTTATTTTAACTGAGCAGAAAGCACTCGCATCTAGTTGTATAGCTCCAGCAGGTTTGTCACTGTTTCTGACGCTTTCTGAAGTTCTCAGTTTGCTTTACCTAAACTTCTTGTTGTAAAATGTTGCTCTTATGTGATGTCTTCTGGTTAACAGCTGAGCTGATGCGACCAGTAGATGATTACACCATCTATTTTATTGATGCCACCGAGCACAGTAGCTCTAGATCCCAAAATAATTTCATGTGGACTTGGTTTGCAGTAATGTGCTTGTAGTCATGCTTATACATGGCTAAGAATGGCCTGTAAGCTGATAGGTGTTAGCCAATATAATGAGATATTAGCCTTGTTGTCGTAAGTTACATGGTAATATGCTTTTCTGACCATGTTGTTGGGGACAACTAAACAATTACATGTTTTAATAGAAAGACAGTAGGTTTTAAATGTGGCACTATGCTTGCTTTGTTAGTTTTAGCTTATCACACCTCAGAAAAACAAGCAGTCATGATATATGCCGTGTATCATGTCTTGAGGTATCATGATATTATGTGTTTTCCATATTGCCCATTCCTAGCTGCTATTTAGTTTTGTTTAGTTTGGCTCATTGATGTTCCGTTACTGGTGCCTTTATTTCCTCTGTGATTGCTTCTGTTGTTTTCATAATATTCTAGGGTTGTAAAGTGCTTTGGGCTGTTTTATTATTTTATTATATGTGTTGCATTGTGGCTGAGAATGGCCTGTACGCCAGCGGATGGTCAGGAATGGCCTATATCTGCTGTAAACTTATGGCTTTCACCTGAGCTCAGTCTCCTTCGTTGAGAGGTGCTGGATCTAATATAAACGTTCATGTTTTATATGCAGTGCTTTCTCAGAAATCATTTTGAATTTTCTATAATGAGTAATTTTTGTTTTGTCTTCTGTTTGTAGAGATGATGGAAGAACTGTATAGTTTGGACCCACGACGTCAGGAATTGCTGGAAGCCCGGTTTACCGGAGTCGGTGTGGCCAAGGTTTGTTTGATTAATCATCCCTTATGAAACATCAGAACAAGTATTGCAAGGCCGCATTTGATCTTGTGACGAGAATACACGTGTGGGAAGGCCATGAGGGAATTCGTTGTAAATGTGGGTTGAAACAAATGGAGTTTGACATTTTTTTAACCTGTTCTTCACTTCTTGTGAAATTGGAGTTCAAAGTAGGGGCAGTGGTGTGCTTTCCAACTAGTGTTTGACCAACAAGAAGTCGGTCATTAGTGCCGTGTAAGCCAGTGTGGCTGAAAAGTCGATACAGCCGTAATCGTGATGTGGAAAGAATAGTTTGCAATGTTTGTGAAAAGATGCATCGGCTCTGCGTTCAAGCTAAACAGTTGCATGGAATCAATTTT